TTTTTTTTTTTTTTTTTTTTTTTTTTTTTTTTTTTTTTTTTTTTTTTTTTTTGTTTCTCTTAGAGCTGAACTCTAAACTCCTTCTTCATCGACCTAGCAATAGAGATTTATTTGTATTTCTCTGTTTTATTGCATTTCAGTTGGTTTTATGTTGCTTGTGTATAGTTGCTTTTCTATATACTAATGTCGATACGAGTTGGTTTGTAATACAGAAGATCATATTAACGAAGACCGAGGTGGTGCAGGATAGAGCGGCAGCTGAAACTACATTTATTAATGTTTTAATATTTATAATATCTCTCTCAAAAGGTAATTAAACCCAAAGAGAAACAAGCTGCATGCTGCTTAAGTACTGTTGCACGGAGGCGGCCAGCGAGCAGTTCTCTGTTACCTGTATATTTGGGGGGCTCGCTGAACTGGGATTTCGGAATAACAGCTGGAAAAGAGATTAAATATACTTTTGTTTACTTAGTTGTTGAGTTTTTTCCCGAAAAAAGAGGATTCTTAAACATGAACAACGCCCCCACCCGCCCATCCCCCCACCCTCCTGTTGTGCACGTAGCATGGCGAGACGAAGACGAATACCATCCAGTATATGTTGAGCCGCATACTTTCGGGATAAACTAGGAAATATGCAGCGAAATAACACAATAAAGTTATTTATTTTTATTAATTTGCATTTAATATTTACAAACAGACAGCAGAAGAAGCCACGCAGAAGAGGGAGAGAGGGAGGGAGGGCCGACTGGGTCTCGCTGCTAGCAGTAGTAGCGAGCAGGCGGTGGTGCTGTGGTGTGCAGCANGAGGGAGGGCCGACTGGGTCTCGCTGCTAGCAGTAGTAGCGAGCAGGCGGTGGTGCTGTGGTGTGCAGCATAGCGTCTGTGTTGATGCATCAGAAACGAGTTAAACATTGTGTATTTGAATTACTTTATGTGTCAATTAGATAAATATCTCTAATTTGAACGGCTACCCGTTTAAACTTTTCTATTTTGCCGCCGTACGAGCCCAGTCTCATTTCAGGTTCCTACACCCACCCCGCTAAACGAGTGACCCTTCACCGTTTGCACACAAAATTTGTTGAAAATGGATGTTTCTTCTTTTTCTTCCGAAGATCAGATGACGAATTACGTCCATGCGGGTGTAACCCCAGATCCTTTGACGGGGGCAATCACCAAGCCCATCTACCAGTCCACCACCTACGTACAAGAAAGCGTTGAGCAGTATCTGCAGAAAGGTTACTCGTACTCCCGATCGGGAAACCCGACGGTTAGAGCCCTAGAAGAAAGAATGAAAACAGTTGAAAAAGGCGCAGACGCCGCCTGCTTTAGCACAGGCATGGCTGCCACGGTAACGGTAAGCGAACTCTGAACTCGCTTTCTTCTCCTAGCATATATACCTTGACTAGAACTTAACTAGCTTTCCACTGAAGTACAAAGAGTGCAGAGCACCTCCATACATAAGAGATCAAACCATATGCCAGTCAGTGCTGATGAGGAAGCGGAGCTCGCTTTCCGCTTCTCCCTCATAGTAGATGGAGGCTGTTGGTTTATACCAGTCAAGCTTGACTTGTATTCAAGTTGTATGTTTCGTGTGTTGTTGTTGTGGTTTCAGGTGCTCACGGCCTTCCTCAGTGCTGGCGACCACTGCATAATGCCTATATGCC